GTCATAGCAATTCTTGTCAAATTCTATGGGGATGGTAACTGAAATAAAGGGGAGTAGTATGTATAATATATATTTATATATATAATATATATATATATAATGCCATTTTTCCATTTCCAATGACTACACCATAAAAATGTAAGCAAGGCTTCTCAAAAACATTGAAACATTCAAAATCAAAACCCTCATTCAGACCTTCACATTCCAAAGGAAAGATAATAACAGTGCAAAAGCCCATTATAACGTCATTATTTATGACCTGGCCCTCCATGTTACATATCGGAACAACACAAGTTATGTTTTAATATATACTGTGCCCAAAAGTGTAACAAATAACAGTATTAATAACTATCATCAAAACATGAATAGTTGATTTTCATTTTAGTCAACAATTTTCAGCTTTTACGAAAGAAAAGGTGGCATATAAATTTCAATGCTGAGATCTTAGCAACAGTTGTCTCTAACTTTACCCAATTTAACTGGTGAGCAATCAGTTCTCTGTATATCAATGTTTCAATACAAATGTGTAAATCCTAAGAGCTTTGTTAAAAATTTAAAAATTTTTTATTTGTTGAATGAAACTGATGAGGTATGGAAAACATGTCAACATTATATATACCAAGAATATTTTTGATGAAGTTCTGCCTAATCTGTTCACCATCAAACTCTAAAAATGCTGCTCTAATAGGTCCTAATGCAATCCGTATTTGTAAATTAACTAGGGTCAGACCACAGCTAGTGAACAATTTCAGCACCAAGAAGTTATTGAAAATGAGATTTTACACCATTAAGAAATCAATTGGCTGGATATTTCAATGTTTCAAGGTCAGGGTAGAATTTGAAAGACACCAAATTTCGGGGGCGGGGGGACTTCTTTTTAACAACATCTTCACATTAGCTTTACAATCGTAGTTGTATTCTGCTTAAAATCATATGCAGTCTGGGCATATCAAATATATGATATTTAAGAAGTGAAATTGAAGCCCTAGTCCTAACTCTAGCACTATGAAGAAATGATTCAACACTGCACATTAAAAAAAAAAAAAAATCTATTCTTTCAATAAAAATCGATAAAAGCATTATGTGGGACAATTTCTACTGAAGAAGTAAATGCCTTATTATTTGTGCAGTGTTGAAAATTTACTGCAACTCTAATTTCCTTTTTAACACAAATAATGTCCTTTTAAATATAAACATTATATGTATTCAGTATTCAAGTAAAATTCCCTAACAGTTAATGACATTTAAAAAATGTGCAAAACTGCAAAACTCATTGTAATAGAATGTGTAAGGTCAAAAGGGTGGGACGGCTGACAGCTATCGGATTGAATAAGTGCATCATAAATCTTTAAAGAAAAAAAACGCTTACTGTAGAATCTCAAATTGAAATTTCCTGTGCAGCATTACAAAATATTTTATATTCAATGAGAAAAAAAGCAGCTTGCAGGCAGCACATGAAGCATCCACAGCAGGTATATGATTGAAAACTAATAACGTAAGTGTATGCAGTCGACTGATGTAGGTACTAATAGCATCTGACTTTTCGCACTGGCCTTGATTACACAGGAGATGGAGCGGTCACTACAAGTGAGAAAACATATTTAATAAGTCATTGTCAATTTTTAAAATGTTTCAAGCCCATTCTGTGTTGATAGCCTCCACATTTATATGGTTAAGTCATTGTTGCTGTGTTTCTTATCTATGACCACGTTATTTTTATATCCCTTCATTTGTGGATTCTTAACAAGTTGTGGAAGGTTCATTCCTGTACCCCAATACAGATTCACTCCCTCTAGCTGCCTTTTCTAGCACCAATATGCTTAAAAAAAAAAAAAATGCACAAAACAACAAGCAGTGACAGCGGCCAATTCCTCAAACGTCCAGATTAATAACTGTAGCATGCTAAAGAAAGGTGCGTGGAAATAGCTGGAGACGGCATACGGTCCAGAGTCCAGCGTGAAACCCATCCCTTTCTGAGCACTCCCTCCATCCCCGACCCGAACACATGCATGAGAATGTAGCGGAACCCTCGAGAAACTCCTCTTAGCCAACTGCAAACTTCTCTGTTGCCACAAGTGCAGAGGGGTAGGATGTGAACCTGTATGTCACAAAACTCTTTAGCCACTTCAGTTGGTGACAGAACACAAAATGAGAAATTCCTACGTATACACATCAGTCTGTCTCCACTTTTTATAAAACTGGAATAAAATGGGAAAGTGCCATCTTTATTTATCCTAATTGAATTTTAAATGTCCTTTTGACACAAAAAGGTATATACATGACACAGCTACACAACCTTTTTTCAACTGGACAACAAGTGTCAAAACCCTGTGGATGTATAGGGTAAAACAAGATTGGTCAGGAAAAGAGAATTGTTCCTATTAACTGGTAATCTGACACAATGTCCTATTGCCATTAAAAAAAAAAGGTCCAATTTCAGTTTATTCAAGTTTGTTTTCATGGTGTTTTATCCCTCTTGATAAAAAAAAAAAAATTCAGACTTTTGTAATTTGTGTATGCTGATCTTCATCAAAAGGTTCATTCTCTGGATCAGAGTCAGTGGTGTCAGAATATCTATAATGATCAGGTTCATTGTCACTAACATCTGGTGTTACAGAAGTTGAACTGCTAGCCTCTGGATTTGATGGCTCCTCTACTGTTTTTGTGAAGTACAGCTTCACCTGGAGAAAAAAGAGAAGGTTTAAATGGAAAAATCCATAAATCTGACTAATCTTAAAAAATAGAGATCTTTACTAAGTAATTTAACAGATTTGTTTTTAAAAGCGCTACGACAAATATGATCTTTAAAAGGCGGCTGCCTTTTAAATGACCCTCTTCTTCAGATTCCCTCTATGTTCTTTCTTACAATACACTAAAAAGTTATACTGGAATGTTAAAATACTAGTCTTTAATAAGCATAAGCTGCAAGCACAGACTAAATAATTCTACCAAAGAAACGCACTGAGCCTGAAGTTCATCAAGTTTACAAAATGTGTTTTCAATCTCGAAATCCAACGTACAAAGAGCTGAGTTCCGGAAGAACATCTCACTTACTACCTGTCTGAACCTCAATATGTTTTCTGATACAAACGATACTGAACAAATACAAATGCCAGATCATAAAAATACTGATCAACAATGATGTTTAGGATCAGCCCTAAAACCTCCTGAAACCTAAAAACCTCCCATGAGGAGAGAACATGACACAGTGATCAGAACAGTGGACCAAGGGCCTTTTTACAGGCACAGCCGAGTTAACTGTCAAACAAGTCAACAAAGGCAGGTATTTCTGTTTTAAAGGCGAGGAAGCTAAGGCCCAGAAAGTTCAGGCAACTTGCTGAAGGCCACATATCTAGTAGGTGGTGGATGTGAGGCTTCGGCGAGATCTGGCAGGAAGCCCCTCGCTCATGCTCTTAAATCGGCAGCCCCTCCCCCATGGTCCAGTAGTCTTCGTCGATTCTTCTCTTCCACCCAAAATCCGTTCCATCAGTAACTCCTTTCAGTTCCACCTCCAAAATACCATCCGTCCCCACCCTGACAGCTTTTCATTGTGCCCCACAGCCACCACACTAGTCCAAGCAAGCACCGTCTCCACTGGATTAAACCACAGCAACAGCTTCTCAACTCACCTCACAGCTCCGTTCTTGCCTCCTCTCCCTACTCTCCTCTCCAGTCTACATTTTGAAGGAGTGGACAGAATGAACTTTTAAAGACAAAATTCAGATTACATCCATCCTGTGCTGAAAACACACCAACGTCTTCACACGCAGACTCATGTGCTTTAGTCAAAATGACTCCTCCACTGCTCCTCAAAACTACCCAAATTATTCCTGTCTCAGGACTTTTGTAACGGTCTCTGTCCTTCTCTCTTTCCCTAGATATTTATATAGCTCACTCGTTTCGTTTAAGGCCCTGATTAAATGTCACCTGCTTGTAGAGGACTTCTCTTAACTATCCACCTAAAAACACACACCAAATGATCTCCGCTTTATTTGTTCACAAGCACTTACCGTATTACGGTACTTGTTTAATGATAACTGAAATACTTTCTATACGTAATCGCAAATACATATTCTTGTGATATTAAAACAGAAAACAATAAAACCGGAGGACATCACACTATAAAAGCTAGTAATTAAGGAAAATACAGTGCTAGGTAAAAGACCATCATCAATGGAAACCCGTGAATTCTAAAAGACACTTATAGACACTTAAAAGAAATATAGGATCTAAAGCCACTTAAAAATGGATTTATTTTCACTTAAAATATGTAGCCCCTTTATTTTTATTATTACTAGCAATATTCTTATACTTACAAGCTATAGTTAGGCTTGTTGTATACTACAAAAATGGAATGAGGCAAAACAAGGAAGAGAGAATTTTTTAAAAGAGAAAGGAGAAGGGTACGGTGAAATAAAGGGGGGGAGGATCAAGTAGAATAAGAAATAAGAAAGGAGAAAAAAAGGGCAAACTAACCACTTGGAAATATTTATAGATCAGCTTTTCATAGAAAATTCTTATCTATAGACAGGAGCAGAAATACACACACACATCACATATAGATAAAAGTAAATGAAGCAAATACTTCCACAATATGAGGAAGCGGACAGAGTTTTAGAATGGGATTAACACCAGAGGATGATGAGCAAAGGCCTTCCAGGGCACGAGAGACCGAAGCTAAGGCTACAACAGGAAGGCCGAGTGCGGGAAGGGCAGGGGAAAGGCGGAGGGTCGAGAGGTACAGGGAGAAAAAAAGAACCAAAAGGACTGGAGGCAGGAGAACTTAGCCTGTGGAAGAACTGAAGACAGCCCAGAATGGGGGACTCTCGGGGAGCAGGGGGCATATGGCTAGTGCCGATGTAGGAGGGAGGCCTGTGCTGAATTAGGTAGGTCCTTGTAGGTCCTATCAAAAAACCACAAGGTCTTTAAAAAGGATGAACAGGAGTGACACAATCACGTCTATTTTAAGATCACTCTGTGGAGCTGAGAACATATGGGAAGGGGACAAAGGTAGGAATTGTAACAACATTCCCTAGAAGTCATTCCCAAATGACTGAGCTCCCTTCTACTTCTTTCTTCCCCCAGTCCTACTTCACAACCTGCTTAAACTTAACTCCCCTTCCCAACCCCTGCCTCAGATTTCACCAAACAACCACACAGAAGAGGGTTAAGAAAAGAAAAAAAAAACATACTTTTTTTTTTCGTTACTCTGTGTGCATCCTTGTTAGAAACTCAAGTTACTGATATGGAAATATTGCTTCTAAATAGTACTTAATTTAAAACTTACTCATGCCAAGTCCTTCACCAGCTATACACCTAAAATTAGACACACACATACATAGAGCCACCCAACAATTCCTCAAAATGTTTTTGACTGACCTTAAAATTTGGAGAAAAGTATCGGTTGGCCTTGTCTTTATTTGCTTTGTCGAGATCATTTTTTGTTAAAGTGAGTACTAGATATTCCTTGTCATTATCTGCACGCTCTATACTGCAAATACTATCAATTTCTTGATCACATAGACTTCCATTTTCTACTTTTTCTGAGGTTTCCTCTGGTCCTGGTATGAAGAATGTATTTACCCAAAAGTGAAACATTTTGTCCTTAAAAAAAAAAAAAAGACAGATTGTAAATTTTTTTAAAGAAGAAAATATACCCCCTATATTCAACATCTGCCCCAAGAAGTCAGTAACATAAGCCATGTGTCTTTTGATATTTTGAATAAAGACAAACACACAAAACTTGGCAGTCTGGGTTATCTGCCACATCTAACTCACATAAGATTATTCTTTTGTTCAAATTTTAGACCAAAAATGGAACTCCACAAGTTCCAAAATAACTTACTTTTGTTTTAAAGCCTTAAGTAAAATATCACCTTTCTTGTCTAATGTTAGCTTTAAGAAATGTTTTGAGTTCATATGTATGTATGTATTTAAAAAAAAAAAAATCGTAAGTGGATTTAATTTCCTCTGTCTCAACAAGTTATCTATTACGAAGTTAATAAACGTTCCTGAAAAGTCAGCACAACTTCTCAAGAGAGCAAGGCGGGTACATTTCTACTTCGGAAGCAATACAAACAAACATTAGGTGGCTCCTGTTCCTCACACGACAGTACGAGTGTATGTTTGGAGACTTTCACAATGTGGGGGAAGGAAGACCAGCAATTCTGACTTTATGTTATAAAATGCCTATTTTTTAAAAATCGCTTCTTACTTATAATATGAGGTCTTGTTAATCAAAAAACACACCAGAAGTTCATGACTTGAAGCCTTTCCTGACCAACACACAAAATGCTCTCTCTCTCCCCCCTCCTAATTACTGGAAGTTGGCCTGTACGGATCACCTGACAGTTAATGACGCGCAGCCTCCTTGTGGCATCTCATCTCATTTAAATTGCCGGTTAAATCCTTTATTCTAATTTATCTTCAAGTTCTGTTATTTTCCCAGAAAGATGGTAAGACCTTTAAGTATCTTACATTTAACTGTCTTTTTATCTTTTAACAGTACCTAGCAATGTCATATATAAGTCTTTTAAAAAATATTAATTGCAATTATTTCAGCAAAGTCACTGAATTAGTAACTATATCATATTTTACTTAGAGTCAGAAGAACATAATCCACAAGTGTGGATTCTGTATAGATAACTGATTACACTACAATGGTTTTTGTTTAAATCACAGCAACATTTCTAAAAGGTAGGGGCAATCACATAAAATGGAAATAAACATAAAGTAATCCCAGATACAGATGTATTACAAATAGTGATCTAATCTTAAATTCTGCACGTATTAAAGTAATGTACAGACGATGACTGAAATAAGAACTTATGCACTCCTAAAGGTAAAGGGAAACAGTGATGCAGGTGCCTGTTTTCAAAAGAAAATATAAAACTTTATGTGTACCAGTCTTATAACAAATAGAAGGAAAAGAAATACTTACCTTAATTTTAAAACACTTGCTAATGCTTCCTGGATTATTGAAAAATAATTTTCCAAAGTTACTGAGATATATGTAACTTTCATTTATACAGAATAGGTAGGAAATGGGTTTCTGGCGAAAAAAAACCAGCTCAACGTTTTGTAGAGCTATGTGGATTCCCAGCTATGTGGATTCTGGATATAGGAGACTGTATTTCTTTGGATAAGTCAAAGTAGAATTTAAAATTTTTGTAATAAATGAAACTTCCTCTTTTTTTTTTTTTTTTTAAAGCTAAATATCAGGAAAACCAAATCAGTCCTATTACTGAGAATGTCTAAAGACTGGCAATACATTATCTAGCATGTTCGATGAGCAGTACCGACACACAAAGGTAGTATTTTTGTTCACTACCACCCCAAAAGTTTGCACCTTAGGCACACTCACCTTAAATGTTCACTCAGTATTGTAAGCCAAGATAGTTTAAGAATGAGCTCTCGCATTCCCTAACTTAGCTCCGTAAGACGCAAACCTCACTAACTTCCTAAACCTGCATATTTAATAACACACTGTTTTCATTCTTTATTACTTCCTTTGCATATTAACAGATCTTCTATCTAAAATTCAAAATATTCGATAAACTTGAGGAAGTTAAATATAAAATGATCTGGTTTCAGGAAACATGAACCCTAATGGGGGGGAAATGGTTTGTGTCATTACACAAGACCATGAAACACATCTTTATTTATACATATACCCTAAATCTTCTACAAACTGATAGCCCCTTGCTAATTTCTTAGTGCCTGCTCATCCTTTCCAGAAGGATTATAACTGATTTAATGGGGTGTACAATCTTTAATACTTTTACAAAATTTATCTGCATAACCCAACTTAAAGAACGTTCATCTCAAATTAGAATATGTCATAAGGACTTTCCCTTCTAACAAGACTTTTTACCATCAGAATGGCTCATCGATGCTGTAGTACGCAAAGCGTGTGCAGATTCAACAGAAAACCAATTATAATTCATGAATGTCTGTCATAAAATATATCTTATAATCTCTCCTTACAAAATGATTTCTGCTTAACCAAATATTTTAAGCAGAAGATCTAAGGTCGCCGTCCGAGGTATGGTGAGTCCGGGTATTTTTCCCACTACGAGTAAAGTGCAAACCTTTTTTAGCATCTTGTTCTGTTTGTGGAAGAACTCTACTTTGATGTCACCACACACAGGCAGCGGCTGAGGGAACTCGAAGTACATGAACTTGTCTTCCCGTCGTGTGGGTCCCGAATTGGAGGAATAGATCTTCACCTTGAGCTGGCAGACCACAAACTGAGGATCTGCGTGGTGAGATACACATTAGCATCATTTCACAGGAAATGCCTTCAAGTGCCAGACTGCCAAAAACTGTTTCAATGATTACTATTAGCAATATACACAAAACAGGAATTCTGCATCTGTAACCCTGATCTAAGACAAATCAACGGAAAAACTAAGGTCAAAAAACATAATCAGTCCAAAAGTTTCTCTAACTTGTACCTTCAACGTAAGGTTCTACTCACTGTATGAAAACCAATCTGTTTTACAAACAGTAAGTCCCAACATTAGACTTCTGGCACTGCAGTTAACATCAAATTTTAACATTAAGTTGTAAAATACCTAACATAAACTAGATTGATAATTAAAATGCTACAATAATTTCCTGGCACATTCATATTTGCTGCAGTATTTTAAAGTCTCTACCATGTAACAAAACCCACCAAGTACAAACCGCTACATGTTCACAACAGGCATGAGAACATAATCTGTAACAAAGTTCTACGAAATTCCATAAACGCAAGACTGAATATTTATAAACAAAACAAAACATTAATCATGATTTATTTTACCTATAGCTCACATTTTATTTCTTAAAGGTATATAAAGCCATCATCATGAGAAACAGGAAGAAAAGGATGTGAAATGTTCGCAAAGAAATACAAGAGACTCAAGCACCAATTGAAGCACAAGCCCCCTCCCTCCAAACACACTGCATTTTCATCAACACATATTTTGGCTTTGGCCCCTGTCTGTTTCAAAATAAAGGGAAGGACTACATGGTTTAGTGAGTAACCTTATGAATAAGAAGTGTGTGTTGAAGGAAATATGTCAAGACAATCAAGAAGTAAAATCCTAAGCCTGCAAAGAGTACTAGAAATTTTCGTATATGTTCCATTCACACACACACACACACACACACACACACACACACACACACACACAGGCATAAAATACTCAGCACCAAAAGGCATCATCCTTAAAGATGAAAAAAGAAATATCACATTGTTTATGAATGTGGCCAACAACTGAGAACAAAGCAAAAAGCTTATCCAAGCTAGATGAATTTTCTGGTTTAATAAACATGTGCTGGCCCATCTATGCAATATCAAAAGCAGTATCAGCACTCACATAATAAATAGGTTTGATAACAGCATACTGGGCTTTTCTAATATGAATTTGTGAGGCACTTATCATGAGAAAAAGGGCACTCCAAAAAAGGGAAACATTCTACCAACAATCTGTCAATAATTTTCACTCCCTTGACTAAAGGTTCAAAGTACAATGAGCCATTTTACAGGATTTTACCTGATTCCGAAATTTTCTAGCTTGAAGAAGCAAACAAAAAGGTACGATTTCAAAACTGTGATAAAAATCGGCCAGGATGAAAATGCCTTGTAATCTTATTAATTTAAACTCCTAATTCAGAACCTGATAATCCTGATGTTAGGACTTTAAACTGCATATTAACTGTATAAGCCAGATTTCAAGTGAACTACAACTAAAATGTGTATCTTCAGGAACCCCAGAATAGTCAAATCAATTCATAAGCTAATTACAATTCAGTGTTACTCAGACTTTACCCCCAAAACTAAGATAAAAAGTTTTAACAAAATTAAGTGGAAAAGATTTTCTCAAATCACTAAAGAAAATAATTTTCCCTACATTGTGAATTTCCCATTTTAGATATCTCACACCTAATTTATCAGAAGTCCAACAAGAGTATGGTTCTGCTGACTTCTAGACACAGTTCAGATATTTTTCCTTTGATGTGAC